AATAGAATAGAATAGAATAGAATAGAATAGAAGGATATATAGGTAAAGAGAGAGATTGGATAGAATGGATAGATAGATAGAATGGATGGATGGATGGATGGATGGATGGATGGATCAGAGAGAGAGAGAGAGAGAATGGATAGATAGATAGATGAGATAAATAGACAGATAGAGATAAGAAAGACAGACAGACACAAAATAATTGTGTGTTTAGCAACCTGGAGACGAGGAAAAAAAATGCAGGAACAAAACCTGTCTTGATAAATGCACCTCGTGTTTACTGTTGTTTCCTTTCACGTAGCTTAATTGCCTTGAATCCTCCTGCCGTACATGTAAATTCATAATGAATTTTTGTTTCCTTCCCTCTCTCTCTCTCTCCCTCTCCCCCTCTTTTCTGCCGGTGTACAGGCTGAAAGAATATCATCGGCTCCAAGACAAGGTCAGCCTGGCGCAGAATTAATGGCAATCAAGGGGACCAAAAGCTCTTTCGCTCCCCTTCTGCTAATTTCCTCCTGGCTCTTAGAATCAGGGTAGTAATTGGTAACTGTTACCCACCTTCTCCAGCAAGGTTTTGTTACGCTGTTCAATGCCAAGGTGGCCCGCAGAAAAGCAGAGTGTGCTCCTGCGAACGAAGATGTTATTAAAATATTTGTGTCATTATTTCTCCTTTCTAAGGAGTGGGGCCTTTCTAACTCTCCTTTCTTCATTTGTGTGGGGTTGTTTCATCTTCTCACATACAACTGTTCGCCGAGCCCGTCTTTGTGATTCCTGGGGTACTGAGAGCATCTGAAGGACGCACTGTATTTTGTTGAGGATATGCATTTTTTGTGGAAGGGAAAAAAACACATAATACTGCAAGGGTTGGACTTGACCCAGAGCAAACCATCTTCCTACCTGTAAGAGCTTAGCTTGGCAAGGGGATGGGGTGGGGGGAATCGCCCTTTTCCTTTTCATAACCAACCATTAGGAGTGTTGCTTTGTCTTTGACTTAATTGCTGGGAAATCTGGTTGGGTTTCTCAATGTCTGCCTTTTCTTTTCCAAATTCTTTTCGCGAAAGGAATTTTTTTGTTTATATTTTGCCGCACGGCTTGTTGCCTCCCCAGGCCCCGTGGATTCAATGCTGAAAATCCGATTCAAGGTAAAGAGGGTACAAAAGATTGAAAGGAGAAGGTGCTTCTCGGGGAAACGTGGAATGTTAAAATGTTTGGTCTCGAATGCGACGCCGTGCACATTTGAAACGGGTCCAGGAGAAAAGCAGAGGGGGGAATCGAATGTTTTGCCTCCGTGGCTTGGTAGGATGAAAGAAACAGGATGGGAAGGCCAACTGAAATCCTGTTTAAGAGAGATTAAGCTGGTTGCCCAACCTGATTTCTTCCAGTTATCTTAATCGGGTTTAGTTGTCCTGCATTTGGAGAGTTGCGAGCAGAACCCGCTGGATCTTCTCGCAAGCTGACCTCCTAATCAACCACTGTCATCCCACAAGCATATTACATGTGAACCCGTTCCTTTGTTCTACCTTTCTGATTTGAGACATCCCTTAAGTTCTCCCACAGACAAAAAGAAAACCATGGAGGTTTGCCATTTCAGTGTTCGTGTTTTGTTCTAACTCTGCTGGTTTATTCCAGCATCAGTTCCATATTGCCAACTAGATAGTCTACCCGTGGTCTACGTAGGTCGCCGTAAATCTTGTGCCCAGTTACAGTCCAGTTGCCATCCTGTTTCTATCCAGTTTCACCCAAGCAAGCCTCTTAACAGTAGTTGATGTTGGTGTGTTTTGTGAGAAGCCAGCTTATTTTGGTTAGGGTGTGTTTTCATGCCAGGTGTAGATGGAGAAAATGGATTTCTTCAGTCATGAGGTTGGGTTGTTGGGTGAACAGCTTCCTTGAAGGACACCTAAGGCTGTTCCTTGAACGGTGGACCCAGATGGAGGGGAGTGGAAATCAGATCTTTCTGTTAATCAATCTAGGAATAATTTTTGGGAGATCAATCAAGATTTCAAGCTCCTCTTTCTTTGATAATGGCAAAAAGGATTCCATCTGTCCTCTGTCCCTTAGGAGCTCTGAACTTTAGTCATTCCTGTTCTGTATATAGACTTCTTCCTGCTTGCCCCCTTGGCACAGACGTGTCCCAACAGCCTCTTTTTTCAGCCGTGTCCCCATGATGTCTCCATCTCGCTCCCAACCCGTGAGTGAGACAGCCTGATACGATTCTTAGCTGTACTGGTGTTAAAGTAGGATTTTCCCCTTTAGACCAACAGCAAACGACTACAGCCACAAGGTCTGTGGATCAGTTATGCTTCTGGAGGCCAGTCATAGCTGGCATCCGAGTGGACCTTCTGGGCTGATCTGGGCCTTTCGTTCATCTGCAGAAGGAAAAAGAGGGCAACCACTGAAAACCCTCAAAGAGGGGGAGAATATTTCAGATGCCCGTAGGGAGTAAATTACCCAGCTCAGAATGGAATCTGTGGTGCTGGGCTTTGCTTATCAGCTCAGGTTGCAACAGAACGGTGTGTAGGAAAGGCAGAAGAAGGAGCTTAGAGATGATGGCCGGTCTCCTGCAGGCAGGTCTCACTCTCTCTTCTAGATGCAGGGCTGTGATTGGTGCAGAAACAGGAAGGCAGCAAAGCTGGAGGATTCCACCAATCACGTGGCTTATCACGTGCTGCGCTCGCGTAATCAGAACAGCAGCGTGTGGCAGTGAATCAAAACAGACACGAACAGAGGCCAGAGACGGAGTGGCAACAGGGGTCCAAATTTCAAGCTTGCTTGCTTGCTTGCTTGCTTGCTTGCTTGCTTGCTTGCT